ATAATATTATTAATTTATGATCCACCGGCGATGACCCTTGAACAACCCTTTATGCGAAGAGTCCCGGTAACCAGTACTATAAGTCCACCACTAATTGATTTTGAGGTTATAGAGCTTCTGGAATGTACACGACGTTCATTAGCTATCTTCATTAAATTCATTTCACATCTATCGAACATATTCTCCTAGATTTATATATCGAGTTCCTGGCGGAAGCATTTCAGTTATTTTAACATTTTTAATAATTCACGTTAGTTTCGAATACACTTATATGTCATTAAACTTTATTATATTTGTCAAATCCTTTAAAATACTTTAAATATTAATACTTGTATAATCTTTTAAATATTATCAAATATATTATTAAATTTAGCAAGCAACAAATATTCTCTATTCACAAAATTTACTGAAAAATTATGTAATGCTACAAGTTTGCAATATTTTGGGGTTTGCTCTGATTGACACAGAAAATTGTGGTTTCATATTTTGAATCACCTCAATAATTTTACAATTTTGTTATGTTTGATGAAATACAATAATTTCCAAAACATAACAATTAATAAATAATAACAAATATGAAATATAATAATTGCCATGACATACCAAACATTCAGTAACCACAATTAAATAAAAAATATTACTAAGATATTTTCTTATTTGATCGAACAGCAAAGAGAAGATAAAAAGAATGCAATAGATCACGGCGAAAGAAATATCAGTATCTTTCCATCGGTGAAAGGCCTTTATTCCTTACACTAGAAGATTTCAAATAATATCCTTCGAGAAGACATTCAGTTTGCCTCGTCACCAAACTCGTATATTCGCGTTTTCTTAAAGCTGACATTTCTTTCTCTTTTCTGTCACATTCCATTACACTTGGACATTCGGAATTGCCGCCATTCTGAAATAACGCATCTTCCGTTTCTTTATACACCTATTCTCGATAATAAAACGTTCGGTATGATGTCTTTTAAAATAACATTGTTTTGCCATTTTTGATAAAATTTTTCGTACGAAACGTTTCTTTTTTCTGTCTGAAATTTTTTTTATACCGGGTTACGAAGGATACTTTATATTTATAGGTGATGGGGTCTTGGATACTATTTTTTATACTAGCAAAGTTGAAGCCATCACTTTTTATGATATTCCAAACTTGTAAATTGCCAAACAAACTAAATATCAAAATTTCAAGATTTCTAAATTTGAAAGTTTGAAGGTTCACAAATTCCTGAACTTCAACTTCCAAACCTCAACTACATCAAATTCTCCAATTAGAAATTTCTAAAATTCCCAACTTCTCCCAAAATCTCCAATACTTCGAAGTAAATTTCAACAAAAGTTTCGAAGAGTACATCTAAAATCTTCAAACACCAAGATCCGAAACTTTAGCCACTATCATTAAAACCATCATTCAAATCCTACCCTAAAATCAACAGGCATTACATAATCATCACTCCAAAATCAACACGAATTTCGTAGCCATCACTACCAACAAAATCAACACGAATTTAATAGTCATCACCCTTCAAATCATCCCCCTCTTCTCACTTCCCAAAGAATAAAACCACTCAAAGATAACACCAACAATACCGAAACCTCTAACACCGATTTGTTTACCAAAATAGCTAAAGCTGATGAAAGAAATTCAGTCGGAAGAATCTAAAAGCCGTTCTGTCTCTGCTGGAAATAACCGTGTCTGATTTATCGAGCGCATCAAGGTGTAATTTAGCAAAGACGAGGAAGACGAGCGTTCCTCTTTGGCCCTAGAATATATATATACACGTACACAAGTATATATATATATATATATATATATATATATATACCGTGAGACGTAGCTGCTTCTCGAAGCATGTTCACTTATTACCGCGACCTAAGAAGCGAAGCCGGGGCGGAATCGAGTGAAACGAGATTAAAACTCGGAACGAAATACTGTGTAAATTCATTGCTGGCAGGTGTCTGGTCCGACGAAAAGGGGCCACCGTTGCACGAGGAATTTCTGATAGCGTTAAAATGCGCCTAACGAGCGCTCTCCTAGTTTCTGTGCACCCTTCGCTACGCTCTTGAGACCGTTCCGCTTTTCAGCTCGAGCTCGTTGCACGCCCGAGCCGAGTCGCGGTCCCTTCGATTGCTCGTTTTCTTTAATCGACGAACCAACTACGAGTACCAAACGCTCTCTCGCCTCCGCCTTGCTTTCACGGTTTACTCGAACCATCGTTTCGATGGAAATTGTATTACCGGCCTGCCGAGAGTAGCGCTATCGCGAGTGCCGAAGTTTGTCAGCGAAAAACCCCGTTTATGGAGCTGGAAACCCATCGTCGGGGGAGGCGAACTTGTTGTAGGGGTTGTTTAGGGGGAAACTTTTTAAATTTGGGTAGTTGGGAGAGAGATTTTGAGAGGGGGATTTGGGGGAGATTGGGGCTGGGGTATTAGGAATTTGGGAATTTCGAGATGTGGGAAATGGGAGGGTTGGGGATTTAGAAATTTCAGAATTTGAGAATTTGGGGATGTGAAAAATTGGGGGATTAGGAATTTGGGAATTTAGGAATTTCAGAATTTGGAAATTGGAGGAGTAGGAATTTGGGAATGTAGAAATTTCAGAATTTGAGAATTGGGGGATGTGGGTATTTGGGGACCTGAGAATTTGAGGATATAGGAATTTGGGTATGTGGGAATCTGGGGACCTGAGAATTTGAGGATATAGGAATTTGGGTATGTGGGAATTTGGAGACGTGAGAATTTGGGGACGTGAGAAATTGGGGATATAGGAGTTTGGATATGTGGGAAATTGGGGGATTGGAAATTTGAGAATTTAGAAATTTAAGAATTTGAGAATTTGGGAATATTAATATTGGGGAACGTGGAAATTTGGGAATGTAAAAAATTTGGGATGTGGGAATTTAGACATGTGTGTAGTTGGGGATGTGGAAATTGTGGGATGTGAGAATTTGGAGCTGTGGGTATTTGGTGATGTAGAATATTGGGGGTATGGAAACTTGGAAGTGTGGAACTGGAGAACTTGGGAATTTGCAGTTTCAGAGATATGAGGATTTGGGAATTGGAGGATGTGGAAATTTGGGGATATAGTAATTTGTAGATTTAGGAATTTAAAGATATGTGAACTTGGAAATGTAGAAACTTAATAATATGAGTACACCAGCAATGTGGGAACTAGGGGACTTGAGAATTTGAAGATTTAGAGACTTCAAATTAAGTTTTAGAATTTGGGGACTTTGGAAATTGAAAATTTCGTAATTTCGTAATTTGATAATTTGATAATTTGATAATTTGATAATTTGATAATTTGATAATTTGATAATTTGATAATTTGATAATTTGATAATTTGATAATTTGATAATTTGATAATTTGATAATTTGATAATTTGATAATTTGATAATTTGATAATTTGATAATTTGATAATTTGATAATTTGATAATTTGATAATTTGATAATTTGATAATTTGATAATTTGATAATTTGATAATTTGATAATTTGATAATTTGATAATTTGATAATTTGATAATTTGATAATTTGATAATTTGATAATTTGATAATTTGATAATTTGATAATTTGATAATTTGATAATTTGATAATTTGATAATTTGATAATTTGATAATTTGATAATTTGATAATTTGATAATTTGACAATTTGACAATATGAAAATTTGACAATATAAAAATTTGACAATTTGACAATTTGATAGTTTGATAGCCAGATACTTTGATGGTTTGATAGTTTGATAGTTTGATAGTTTGATAGTTTGATAATTTAATAATTTTATAATCTATCAATCTGACAATTTGATAATTTAAAAATTTAATAATTACCTAATTTGGGAGTTTGAGTATTTGAGAACTTCAGAATTAAAGACCCTACCTACACAATAATTCCAAAATTCCCAAAACGTGTATATAATCCCGCAATAATTATACCAGGAAAATTTCCCATAGAACTATCCCTCAGAAGCAGCTTTCGACGACGTCCAAAATTGAAAAGCACCGAGGTAAAACAGCATCGTAAAACAAAATGCAATAAGTTGAAGCGTAGCAGGAACATCGCATGACTGTATGAATCTATTGTGACGATGCAATAAGGCCAGAGTCAAGAGAATTATTAATTGAATCCAAGAAACGAGCAGCATTGTTCTTCCCTGACGACGCTGCTCGAATTCAGTTCGACGGAAGCTCTCTTGCAGCTCGGATGCACAACATAATTAATCATCTTCTAAGCGCATAAAGACGAACAATGTAATAACGTAACTGGTACGTTTCCAACGCGGAAATGTTGTTCTTTTGTGTCCGTGCTAATTCAGCACCGTTTTAAGCCTTCTCTAGAAAACAATGCTTACGTGTGTGGTAACTGCACGCTCCCCTTTGAACAGCCATATTGACAGAAATTCAGCAGAAATTTCATTACCTCGTGGATTCATCGCGAGGAGCAGAGCTATCTCTTGTTTCGGAGACTCGCAATATTCTCTGTACGATCAATCAGTTCTCTTTGTGTCGTAATAATATTCGCGTTTTGTCGGAGGTGATGCATTGGAAAATATTAGTTCTTCCAATTGTGGGTGTAAATGTTTTTTTTAGGAGGTGCATTTTACTTCTCGTAATTTAATTCATTCATTACATTTACTTCTCAGAATTTTTTGTTTCTACGTATATTTATTATTATTATAGAAGATTGATCAGATCAAAATTTATCGTGTAATTAAGCTTCGAATTTAATCAAATTAATTCAAGTTTAATTCGTAATTAAATTGGGAAAGTTTTAATTCGTTATTAAAAATTCATTGTTAATTTGAATTAGAATTATAGACTCTTAAAATCTTAATAATTAAATACTTGATTTAATTAAAATTCGCTTGACAAGTCTGGTACAATTATAAAGTATTCAATTGCCAATTATAATTTAATTAATCATATAATTGTTATAGGAGTAATTGAAAATAAATACTTCAAGTGTAATATTTTATAAATTTAATTTTTGACTCACCATTGTCGAGATGTATGAGCTCCTCCTGTTCGTCAAAGGCTTCTACAATAACCATAAAAATTATTATTAGTTAAATAATATCTCAGAATTCATTTTACACTAATATTAATAAACTATACATATTCTTATTTTTAAACATTCATATCATCATTCATTCATAACATATAATATTTACATCCTTGAAAATAATTTTATAATTTATAAACTGTGCCATAGTTCATATGGTACATTATTAAACCAGTAATATATAGAGTGTCTCAATTAAACATACATTTTACTGTCATAAAAAATTTATAGGTTATGTTGACATTAAATTAACACAAATATTAGTGGTGATAATTTTGAACATTTGCATCTTTAAAATAACAAAATTGATATTATGTTATCCTAAACTAAAATAACTGAACAACTGCAATATTATTCATTTAATTAACTATAATAATTAACTACAATAATTCAATTAACTCAATATTTCGCAATAAAGAAAAATAGACTTCTCCCATTTTCAAAATAAACGAATATAAATAAACAAGCACCTGTAAAATTATTAAAAACATTCCTTGAATGCAGAAATGCCTCGAAAGCTTGTCTTGTACGGAAACGGATCGTGCAAGTTTTCTAACAAAAGGGGTCACGACCTCGCTGGGTTAAGCGATTCGCTTAAAGCGAAGAAGAAAAATGCGAGGACAACACGAAACTCGACATGCATTACTTATAACGCGGTCTATTTTCCGCGACGAAGAGGGTGAACCTCCCCTGAGACGTTCAGCGTAGGTAACAACGTCAAATCCGTGATAAAAAGCGAAACTTGAATTCAAGATGGACGTGACCGAGCGTGAGATGAAGTCACGAGCAAAAGTGGAAGAAAAGGGGGAAAGAGACACACAATTCTACGAGTTTGAGTTAGTTGGGTGTAGCAAGGAAATGAATTGAATAATTTAGTAGGTCAGAAAGGATGGAACGAGTAAGTTCGAACATGTGTTACCGAGAAAAATTCGGAGGAAATTTTCACTATTTTGTCAAAGATTTGTCACCTGAGTCTTATTGTTAGTGTAACTATTATTACTGTGACTTAATTAAATTTTTACATTAGTTGTGTGACGAAGATTTCGAAGAATGAGTGGTTGTTTTAGGTTAAAGAAGAACTTGCTGAATTTTTGATTATTTAATTATGATATGTTAAAAGTAGAGAAGGAAGAAAATTTTATATACTAAACTTTTGAAGGTACCAAATTACCACTTTTATTGTATTTTCAAATTAGAATGTTTTTATATTTGTCAATTATTATATCTCTAATTCACTAAATGTACATATTTGAAAATGTGTGAATCTTGAATTTTTTAAATCTATATATACCTACTTCACAAAGTGTTCTTTGCACATTTTTGAATCTTGAATTTTGCAAACTTTTAAATTTGTAAATAATAAAATTCCAAAATGTGAAAGTACCTCAATGTCTACATGTCACACATGTCTACATATCTAAATATCTACGTGTCCAAATGTGTAGACGTCCACATCCCTAATTGTCCAAATCTCTGATTGTCCATATACCTAAATACCTAAAAACCTAAGTGTCTAAATCCCTCAATATCCAAATCCCTAAATGTCCAAATCTTCATATGGCTAAATACCTACAGCTCCAATTCCCTACATGTCACACATGCCTACATATCCAAATATCTAAATGTCCAAATGTCTACATACCCAAATCCCCAAATGTCTAAATCCCCAAATATCCAAATTCCTAAATACCCAAATCCCAAAACGTCCAAATTCCTAAAATCTCAAATCTCTAAAATATCCACATCCTTAAATGTTCCAATTTCTAAATATCTCAACCCCTAAAAATCCACATTCTAAATTCCCAACTTCTCAAGTTCTCAAACTTGCAAATGACCCCATTTTCAAACCATCTAATCACAACTTTCCAAATTTAAAAATGTTCAAATCTCTAAATATATCAACTTTCAAACATGTAACCTCTCAAACTAATAAATAAATAAATTTGAAGTTAGAAAAGTTGCAAACATTCAAATCTTCAAATAAAGGACTTTGTATTCGTAACATTGAATACAGTGGCTCTTTGAAATAAAATTTTGTAAAAGTTTCTTAGTACCATATTTCATTCGACAAACGTAATATTCGTTGTTTGAATATCTTTTACCGCTAATGGTTGCACCCTTAACGATACTGTTCCTTTTTCAACGGGATGGTTTTAATATGCCGCAATTACGGCTGAAATTACAGTTTGAAATTCGAATGCAATTACTGCCGGGTCGCAAATTGAAAAAAGGTCCTATGCACGAGATCGTTCGTGTTCGACACGTATCAAAGGATCTATGATGGCCTAAAAGAAAGTCGTTAAAATCCTTTATTTCGTACTGTCGTGCTGCTAATTGCTTCCTATCGAAACGCGTATCGACATGCAACTACGAACAATTTCTTTCTTTCACGCTAAGTAGAAAGGTGTACGTGTATTTTGGTAAATTACGTCGTTATGCATTTGTTTCCAAAGAATATTCTTAAAATTCATTTATTACGAAAGGAATATTACGCTTTGTAGAAGTCACTGTTATTTGGAGAATATTGTTATAATGTCACGTTGTAAGTTTGTAGTTTTGCAATTTTTTACTTATTTATGTGGAAGCTTGGAAATTTGTGAATTTTGCACACCTGTATTTTTGACATTTCAACATTTGAAGTATTTTGACATTTAAAGTTTTCAAATTCTTACTACTTAAAATTTTCGACATACTGAAAATTTACGTCACTCATACAAAGTTTTCAAACTTAAAAATTTTCAAATAAAAATTTTCTAAACCCTGAAAAATTATAAATTACTCACTCGAAATTTTCAAATTAGAATTTTCTAAACCTTGAAAAATTATAAATTACTCATCCACAATTCTCAAACCCAAAAATGTTTAAATTAGAATTTTCTAAACCTTGAAAATTTTAAAATTACTGAAATATAAAAACCTTGTAAAGCTTCCAAAGTCTAAAACTGCCTAGAACTTGCAAATTTCTAAAAATTTCCAAATATCTAAATTAAAAACTTAAAATATCCAAATCCTTAAATTCTAGAATAACATTTCACATTCGTGAAATATTGCGGCACAATTTACCCCCGATTCCTCGCAGATAAAAACACCATGTCGGCACTTAAATTAAAAGCCCAGTGTCGTGTTTCGAGATAGAGTGCGTATAATAATAACCTTCTTAAATGATTAACTTCTATGCAACACGACATACTTTAAAATCATGTATGTATCAAGAAAGCTTGGCTTTTGCATGAACATGTTCATTTTCCTAAATTTCCGCTACTTATTCATGTTAACATTGCTTTCCAGTGACGCGACATACAATTATTCGTTAATGTATCTAAATTACTGTAGGTCTTGGAAATAAAGAACAATTTCCTCAATTTAGAGTAAGTATAATGCACTCTTATCGATATATGTATCGCGAAATGTTTATTAGCTTATATTGCTTAAAATCACATTATTAAGGAAAATGTTATTTAAGGACAATGGACAACTTTTGAACTTGTTATATTCTTACGTTTTGAAATTCTCAAGCTAACAAAATTTCTACGTCCTCAAATTTTCAGGTTTCCAAAATTGCAACATTCCCAAATTCTCAAGATTCCGAAATTCCTACACCCCCAAATTCTCAAGTTCCCAAAATTCCTACGTTCATAAATTCTCAAGATTCCGAAATTCCTACACCCCCGAATTCTCAAGTTCCCAAAATTCCTACGTTCCTAAATTCTGAAGTTTCCAAAATTGCAACATCCCCAAATTCTCAAGTTCCCAAAATTCCTACATCCTCAAATTTTCAAGTTTCCAAAATTGCAGCATCCCCAAATTCTCAAGATTCCGAAATTCCCACACCCCCGAATTCTCAAGTTCCCAAAATTCCTACGTCCCTAAATTCTCAAGTTTCCAAAATTCCTACATCTTCAAATTTTCAAGTTTCCAAAACTGCAGCATCCCCAAATTCTCAAGATTCCGAAATTCCCACACCCCCGAATTCTCAAGTTCCCAAAATTCCTACGTCCCTAAATTCTCAAGTTTCCAAAATTCCTACGTCTCCAAATTCTCAAGTTTCCAAAATTGCAACATCCCCAAATTCTCAAGTTACCGAAATTCCTACATCCCCAAATTCTCAAGATTCCGAAATTCCTTCACCCCCAAATTCTCAAGTTCCCAAAATTCCTACGTTCCTAAATTCTGAAGTTTCCAAAATTGCAACATCCCCAAATTCTCAAGTTCCCAAAATTCCTACGTCCCTAAATTCTCAAGATTCCGAAATTCCTACACCCCCGAATTTTCAAGTTCCCAAAATTCCTACGTCCCTAAATTCTCAAGTTTCCAAAATTCCTACATCCTCAAACTTTCAAGTTTCCAAAATTGCAACATTCCCAAATTCTCAAGTTCCCGAAATTCCTACACCCCCGAATTCTCAAGTTCCCAAAATTCCTACGTCCCTAAATTCTCAAGTTTCCAAAATTCCTACGTCTCCAAATTCTCAAGTTCCTAAAATTGCAACATCTCCAAATTCCGAATTTTCTAAATCCCTAAATTCGATGAGACTGCACTCGAGTCAGGTTGTTAATTTCGATCGATTTTCGAGGGGATACGAGAGACACGGTAATGTTATGGGGAAGTTGGGGCGTGCTCGCGAGGAATGGCTGACGGTATGTACTTGAGAATAAGGTCAGTTAAGGGTGAAGTATGAGGTGGAGCTTGAGAAAATTAACCTGCGAGGCGAGGTCATGTCTGTTGCGAAAATGAGAGAGGTGTCGAGTAATACCTTTGTAATACATGTTTACGTTACTACCAAGCTTCCGGTTCACTTTGCGCTGCAAATATTTAACATTGTTGCAGAGTTCATTTATCATGACCTACTGTGCTACTACGCGCATGAATGATTTTCTCTGCAGAATATTCCATAAATAATTTCTGGAAAAAGTTTTGCAATCGTGTCGTAAACATGGGATTATTAATAATCGTGTTGGGTGAATAAAAATTAGGGAT